CGCGGCGGGCCCCGGGCCAGCCCCGCCGGGGGCCGGGCACGCAGCAGGCCTGGGGCCCCACGGGCGCGCCCACCCGGGCTCAGGGTGAGCTGGCCCCTTCCTCGCCTCTAACGGGACAAGCAGCTCCCTCCTTCTGGGCCGGCGAGCTGGTCCCTCCCCCGAGGGGACGGCTACCCACTCTCTCCACAGCCCGCGGGCAGGGGCACAGCCATCCCACCCGACAGGCGAGCAAGCGGAGGCCCAGAGCACCAGGGCGCTGGCTGGGACACGCTAGGCTGGTGACAGCGGTGTGGGCTGCCAGGCGCCTCTAACGGGACAAGCAGCTCCCTCCTTCTGGGCCGGCGAGCTGGTCCCTCCCCCGAGGGGACGGCTACCCACTCTCTCCACAGCCCGCGGGCAGGGGCACAGCCATCCCACCCGACAGGCGAGCAAGCGGAGGCCCAGAGCACCAGGGCGCTGGCTGGGACACGCTAGGCTGGTGACAGCGGTGTGGGCTGCCAGGCTCTCGCCGTGACACGGACGTCACCTCCAACACGGCTCCTCTGTGAGGACCCCCATGTCTGGGACACTGCTCAGCTGACAGTTACGTCACAGCCAGCAGGCACGGAGAGCCCTGGGGGGGGTACGGAGACAGACCAGCGGGGCGAAGGAGCCGCCACTGCCCGCACGGAAGTGCCCTCGCAGCCAGGCAAACGCCAACACGGACAGACAGGGAGACAAAGGGGCCGAGCCCACAGCCTAGGGGTCAGGGCAGGTGGAAAATGCCTGGTGCGTGCGTGGGCCCGATCCCGAGGAGGGAGACACGGAGAAGGGGGCTGTGAGCCCGCTCCGCTGCGCGGCAGGTCTGCGGCCGCGGGCTCACCAGGCAGTCGCGCTGCAGCGTCTTGACCAGGGCGCTGAAGGTGTCGGCGTCCAGCAGCAGCCCGTCGGGCATGTCCTGCATGAAGTCCAGGTCCTTGTAGGTGGGGGTGCTCTTCTCCTTCTCCTTCTTGCTGGCCCGCCGCTTGTACGTGGAGCCCTTGAGGTCGAACTTGAGGTGCATCTTGACCACGCGGGGCAGGATGTTGTTCATCACCACCACGCGGATGTTCTTGCCGCCCGACTGCACGCAGTACAGCCCGTAGAACTTGGGCAGCAGCGTGCGCGGGTTCTGGTTCAGGTTCTGCGAGGCGGGCGGCCGGGCAGGGGGGGCGGCCAGGGCCCGGGCCCACTGTGCCCGCCTGTGCACCCCGACTTCACGGGGTCACGTGGCCCCCTCCCCAGAGGCAGCTCTGCCCACTGGCGGCTCCCGCCCACCCTCCTGACGGCGCATCGCTAGGGCTGGCAGGGCCCGGGGGCTGGAGGCTGAGAGCTCTGCTGTCCCCACACATGGGCCACCTTGGCTGCTGGCACCCGGTCACCAGCTCACGCTGCTCCTGCCTCCGCCTCCCCAGCGCTGGGAGCATAGGTGCCACCACCACAGGCAGCCTGGAGGTCGGGCCCGACATGGTCCCCTGGCCCCAGCCCGTGGCAGGGCGTCACACAGTGCACGCCACCGTGGTGGGCTGGCCTGGTGCTCCCTGACCATCGCGGGCTCTGTGAATGCTGGTCCGGGAGCAGGCACGGCTTTGGGTCCCTGTTTTGTCCCCGAGGCCAGCCCCGGCACACCAGGCACTGGGGACCCTCATGCCCCCGAGCTAAGTGGGAGTGCCCGATGAAGCAGCGGCCAGGCCAGGCCTCCCCACCAGCTGAGACCTACGGGCACAGGAAGAAGGGGGGAGGGCACTGCCTACAGGTGTCACCTGGGGCAGGGCCAGAGGCCAGCAGAGCCAGGCCCGGAGGCTGGGCCCAGACAGTGCCCCTTTCTGTGAGGCTGTGGACGGGGTTCCACTGTTTGACATTGGGTATAGGGCACGCACCGGTCAGAGCGCGAGAGGAGCACCCCGGAGGATGGCCACACGGCAGGCCCTCCTCCCCCCCCGCCAGGGACTCGGGGCCCACACACACACACACACACACACACACACACACACACGCACGCCTGGCTAGTTTGTGAGCCACGTGCTCTGGGACTCGGGCTGCGCAGCTGGCCACGCGGGATCCAGCCACGCCACCCACGCCACCGGCTGACCCTGGATGGTTTCACGTGTTTAAAAGGTGAAACCAAACCACGAAAACGGGACCCCGTGGCCAGCCGTGGCGCAGAAGCCGC